GATGTTTGGGGGGGCGAAATATAATTATTAAAAATTTTTATAAAAATTTCAGAGGCCCTAAAAACCCTTTTTAAAAAATTCTTAAAAAGGGGGGGTTAATATACAAACCCCATTATACCGGGGGACCCTCCCTTTAATGGCAAACCCAAAGGGCATTTTTTCCCTTTTAAATAAAACATAGCCCAAATTTTTAAAAAATTTTTTGTTTTAAAAAACCCCTAAAAAAATTTAAAAAAAAAAAAAAAGTTTTTACCTTTTAAAAAATTTTGTCTTCAGGGTAAATAAATTGTAAGTTTTTTTTGGGATTTGGTTTACAAAAACCCCCCTAAAAACCCCCTTTTTTATTTTATTTAAATTTAAATTTTTAAAAATTTTATTTACCATTCTTACCTTAAAATAAGGGTAAAAAAATTTTTTTTTTAAAAAAATGTGGAGATGGTAGCAGCCGGGACCTACCCAAAAAAAGAAATAAAACACGAGTTTAAAAAAAGGCGAATATTTTGTAAATTTTACACTTTTTTTACAATTATTTTTTTTTTTTTAATTTCCCCAAAAAATAAAAAAAAAAAACCCCCCCATTTATAAACTATTTTAAAAAAACCCCCGGGGGAAGGAAAGGAAGAATACCCATTTTTTTTATTTTTCTCCCCGTTTGATTTTTTATGTATGTTTTATTTTTTTTAAAAAAAAAATTTTTTTTAAAAAGTTAAATTTAAAAACAAAAAAGTCCAGGGACCTTTCAAAAAAAAGGTTTTTTCCCCGGAGGGAAAACGGATTACTTCCTTTTTTTTTTCCCCTTAAGTTTGGAAAATTTTCCCAAAATTTTTTAAAATAAAATTTTAAAAAAAAACTTTTTGGGCGTTGTTCAATTTGTTTGGGGCTCAAAGGGAAATTTTTCTCTTATTGTAAAAAATCCCCAAAACTAATTTTGACATTTAATTTTGGGAAAATTAAAAATTTTTTAAATTTTTTCTGGGGTCTTTTCCAAATTTTTTGGGGTTTTTGTTTTTTTTTATTTTAAAAAAAACATAAAAAAGGGAAAATTTTTTTACTAATTGGGCTTTCCCCAAATTTATTTTCTTTTTTTTTTTTTTTTTAAATTTTTGCCAAGGTGGAGGACTTTTTTTTAAAGTGTCTATTGCCCCAAAGTGTGTAATTTTTTTAGGTTATGTAACAATTTAATTTAAAAAAAATTTTAACAATCTTTAAACCTTAAAATTTAATTTTCCGAAAAATGGAACTCAGGGGGTTAAAAAATTTGGGGGGGGTAGTTTAAAAAAGGGGGGGAGCGTTTTTCATTTTTTTATAATTTAAAATTCCAAAACCCAAAAGGAAATTTTTCGGGGGTATAATTAAAATAGAGAAACCCCATATAATCATCAAAGGTAAAATTTTGGAAGCATGAATTTTGCTCCCGGGGGAGGGCTACGTTTTTAAATAGTGATTTTGCCCCGGCCTTTTAGGCCTTCCTTAAGTGCTCATTATTTCCAGAACCCAAATTTTTTTTCAATGGTAAACCAAAAACCCCTTTTATTTTTCCACCAAAAAAAGTGGTAAATTTCAATTTTTCCATTTTTACAAATTTTTTTCCTTTCCAAAAAGGGGCAAAATAAACAAGAAAGACCCTTTTGGGTAAAAAAAAAATTTCCCTTTTTCATTTGTATTTTTTGTTTAATTCTTTTGCTTTTCCCCTTTGAAATTTTTTTACTGGAAAATTTTTAGCAACACCGGTAAAAAAAAAAATTTTGCGACTTTTGAAAGAAAAGACTCCCCGTTTCGTGAACCGAGGATTTTTTAAAAACCCAAAAAAAATTTTTAAAAGCCCATTTTTAAAAAGGCGAAAAAAGATAAACCAAAACCAAAAAAAAAGAGTGCAAGCTTTTTAAAAAAACGGCAAAAATTTTTTTACAAGCCGGTGTGCAGGGGGTTTTTTTTTCTACAAGAACAAATTTTTCAAAGGGGGCCCCCTTTTTTTGCCGATTGGGGGGCAGAAATGCTTAAAGCAAAAACCTTAGAAAACCCCAAAAGGCAAAAAACCCCCAAAAAGGGGGGGTTTTTAAAAAAAAAACATTACCCGAAAAATTTGGGAGGGGGGGAAAGGGGAGGAAAATTTTTATTCTTTAGAAGGGGAATCCCCTTCCATTTGGACTTGAGGTAGCAAGTCCTTTTCCGGGGTTACTTCCCTTCTTCTTTTAATGCCACTAGGACCAGTTTGAGAGTCACTGGACCTCTGTCGCACAACAAATCTGTCCATAGAGCTCTGTACCTCCCATTCCTTTAAGATTTGCCTAAAATGGGCCACAACACTGTCACTGTAATAGTCATCAGCATGGCTTGCAATAGCTGTGTTTGGGTGCTTTTCATCCACAAAGGTTTGCAGTTCAACCCTATTTGCACACATTTCCTTAATCTTTGAAGTAGGCACAATGGATTCCACAACTGGCATAGGCTTCTCAGGGTTAGCCCCAAACCCTTCAAAATCTTTCTTAATTTCCATACTAATTCTCACCCTTTTTACTGCAGGGTTGGCACTAGAAGCTTTCTTGGGGCCCATGGTGACTTGTTTTGCAGCTACAAGCACAAAAAAACACTGGGATAAGGTGAAATGTACCGAATGTATGCGTGGATGCGACCGCACTGGCTGGCTTGTAAACACTGGCACTGAGGCCACACGTGGGACGCGTCCCGGACGAATTGCACGAGGCAAGGCAAAATTTTTGTGTTCAAATGTATCGTATGGTGGATTTAACGTAACGTGATGCCATCGTAAGGCAGGGGTCCACTGTATTTGTTTTTTGCAACAATAATGCTTATGTCTCATGTCTATAAGCATAATATAAAATCAAACTGGTCCACAGATGAGTAAGATATCACTGTGCATGACACCTTGTTTCAAAGACTTTCACAGACTGCAGCAGTTCTAGGAACATGTCCAGTGACTATACATATGTAAATATATAATAGAACATTGCTAATATACAACATTTTTTAATGTTTTTTGTTGTAAACAAATACTGTTTACAAGTATTGATGAAAATATTAGTGCAGTTATTGTGTTGAATACAACAAGTGTACATATATACATTATGCATTATATTGGCCTCACAGGCCACAAACGTTACTGGAAAAAAAAATTAGAAAAGAAAAAAGTAACAAAAAATAAAATAAAGAAATGTGACTTTACAGAAGTCGTCAATGTTGCAGCCAATCGGTCACTGAGGGTCAACTTCACGCCTCCATATCTTGGAAAGTACAATCGGAAAAATTTTCTTTGGTTTTATTACCTCTAGAAAAATATTATCTTCATTTTTTTCGATAATTCTTGGACCCTGGCTGTCACTCTGAGATTTGGCCTCTTGACCCTCAAAGAGTTAATCCATCTGTGATATTTTTTTCAAAATTATATAATAAATACACTATGTAACATATAAACATGATAAATACACCCCACAGTTGAATAACTTAATATAAATATGAGATGTTAGGTGTAGATGAGCGTGTATGAACCAAAAACCAGATGCGTTCGTCTGCTTGTTTACATTCTCCGCATCTTTGTCCTCTCTCATTTACTCATTCTCTCTCGTTTATTCATTTTACCTTGTTTACTCACCTCTCGCCCTACATTAAGACTACAAATATTTTAAGGTACGTAATGAATGTACTGTATATGCATTTTATTGCTCTGGGATGCTTTAAATATCATAGTATATTATGTGTGGGGGTGGCCTGACTGTGTACCATACCTTCCACACTTGACTTCTTACAATAAATACTACTCAGCTTTCACTCTACATTAAGATTACAAATATTTTAACCCTTAAACTGTCCAAACATAGAGCTACGTTCACGTGCGTAGCGCTCCGATCGTAGATCTACATTTTATTTTATATGCTTTCAACCTTGGCACGATAGGCCTAAGCTGCCTAGACATGAGAGAATGAGTCTGTGCACTCAGTGTGTGCAGTATGACAAATTCGGGGATGCAGGGAAAAATATGCTCTTCATTTTAAACCAAAAAAACAATAATTTTTTTTTTCCTAAAATATTCAGAGCAGTACGCAAGTGAATGATGATCTACAATTAGACAGTTTAAGGGTTAAGTAATGAGTGTACTGTGTGTGCATTTTATTTTTGTTTTTAATGCCTAATTCTATTGCTAACATAATATATGTTAGTGAAAACTTGTTATCTGGCATTTATATGCCACTTAACAAGTATAAAACAATGGTATTCTGAAAGTTAAGACACATGTGCAACATCTGGATATTTTTATTGTAGACGTTTCGCCATCCAGCGGCTTTATCAATACAGATTCTAGGACATAATAGGAAGACAGTAGAACTATATACAAAAGATGAGGTAATCAGTCCCTCGGCCTTGGAGTTAGTGTTCACAGCATCGTGGTGGAGGAGAATCTGGAGCAAAGGCAAGAAGACTGGCAGTTATATAGGCGTCAGTGGATAAGGACGGGCAGCAGACGAGGGCATAGTCACTGGTAGGCGGGATTCCCCAGCGGAAGTAGGTCCTTCCCAAAGAGATGGGTTAGTTGCAGTAGCCACCCATCTCTTTGGGAAGGACCTATTTCCACTGGGGAATCCCGCCTACCAGTGACTATGCTCTCGTCTGCTGCCCGTCCTTATCCACTGATGCCTATATAACCGCCAGTCTTCTTGCCTTTGCTCCAGATTCTCCTCCACCACGATGCTGTGAACACTAACTCCAAGGCCGAGGGACTGATTACCTCATCTTTTGTATATAGTTCTACTGTCTTCCTATTATGTCCTAGAATCTGTATTGATAAAGCCACTGAATGGCGAAACGTCTACAATAAAGATATCAGATGTTGCACATGTGTCTTAACTTTCATATTGTCGGTATTTTATACCTTTCTTGCACAATGGTATTCTGCTTTCCGGTGATCTCCACTTTCCAACGGTAGCCTGGAACCTACCCTGCCATATAAGTGGGACCCTACTGTATAAACATTGTCTCCAGCAAGCTTACATCTGAGGACAGAAGATGCAAATATGAAAACACTGCATGTCTTAACCGGCATGCAGGAATCAACTAATTTAGTCACAAACACTGATCTGAAAATCATATGGGACATGTATAGACCAATGAAAAATGAGATGTGAGGTGGGATGGGGATGGCAGGGGAGGAAGCTAGGCCCACCCTACAAAGACAATGGACACACACACAAGCAGGCTGCTCGCAAGCTCACTAGATGGAGGGGAAAATCCCACAGTCCAGCTTGGGCACTCCAAATTTTTCCCCCAGGAGTGGCACTGTGTTAGTCAAATTTTACAGTGTTCACCGAAAATATTCTGCAATTTTGCAAGAGTGTAATAAAGAAAACACATTAAAGGAGCACATATTAACCCCTAAACGGTCTAAACATATATAACATTCTCTCACCCAGTGCCCCGAATATTTTGAAAAAAAAAAAAAAAAAAATATATAGAAATAAAGAGAACATTTTTCTAAGTATTATAGGGTTAAAAGAAAAAAAAATTAGGGTCAGTACTTATCAAGATATGAGGCTGCAAATTTGGCACTTAATGCTCACCTGACGGCAACATCAAGTCCTGCCACTTGCAGAAGAGTTGCTGATATACCTTTTTTTTTTATTTTTATATTATTTTATATAATTTTTATGTTCTGGTAATAACAATTTAGAGTAGTTCTTGTCATTTCATAATCAATCTTTGTTCTGACACTAATATTAGGTACTGAAATTGTACTCAAATTGTCACAAACACACTGACAGGTGGACATTTACACCTGCCTTGGTCATTTGTTATTGTCTACGAATATATACAAAGTATTTATAGGTCCCAACAATGTTTTGGATACAGAGGAGAGGGAGGGGGGGAGGAGGAGGGGGAGGGAGGGAGGAGGGAGGAAAGGGGGAGGAGGGAGGAGGGAGGAGGGGAGGAGGAGGGAGGAGGGGGAGGAGGAGGGAGGAGGGGAGGAGGAGGGAGGAGGAGGAGGAGAGGAGGAGGAGGGGGGAGGGGGAGAAGGAGGAGGGGAGGAGGGAAAGGAGGAGGAGGAGGGAGGAGGAGGAGGAGGAGGAGGAGGAGGAGGAGGAGGAGGAGGGAGGAGGAGGAAAGGGGGAGGAGGAGGAGGAGGGGGAGGAGGAGGATGGGGGAGGAGGAGGAGGAGGAGGAGGAGGAGGAGAAGGAGGAGGAGGGAGGGGAGGGAGGAGGGGGAGGGGAGGAGGAGGAGGAGGGAGGGGAGGAGGAGGAGGAGGAGGAGGAGGAGGAGGAGGAGGAGGAGGAGGAGGAGGAGGAGGAGGAGGAGGAGGAGGAGGAGGAGGAGGAGGAGGCCGGCCAGACGAACACTTATTTAACGTTCCAGAATTGTTTCTCTTTACCTAAGGCATAGGTTTACCTGGAGAGGCCCGGTCTGAGACCAGGCCTCATGGTGGACCAGGGACTGATCAACCAGGCTGTTACTGCTGGCCACACACAAGCTAACATATGAACCACAGCCCAGTTGGTCAGGTACTGACTTTAGGTGCCTGTCCAGTGCATACTTGAAGACAGCCAGGGGTCTATTGGTAACCCCACTTATGTATGCTCGGAGGCAAATGAACAGTCTTGGGCCCCGGACACTTACTGTGTTGTCTCTCAGTGTACTCGTGGCACCCCTGCTTTTCATCAAGGGAATGTTGCATCTCCTGCCGAGTCTTTTGCTTTCATATGGAGTGATTTTCGTCTGCAGGTTTAGTACCAATCCCTCCAGGACTTCCAAGTGTATATTATCATGTATCTCTCTCGCCTGCATTTGAGGGAATACAGATCAAGGACCTTCAACCGTTCCCAGTAATTTAGGTGCTTTATCGCACTTATGTGTGCCATGAAAGTTCTTTGAACACTCTCCAGGTCTGCAATGTCACCAGCCTTGAAGGGGGCTGTTAGTGTACAGCAGTAGTCCAGCTTAGAGAGCACAAGCAATTTGAAGAGAATCATCATGGGCTTGGCATCCCTAGTTTTGAAGGTCCTCATTATCCATCCTATCATTTTCCTAGCAGATGAGGTAGATACATTGTTATGGCATGATCCTCTGACATTATCACTCCCAGGTCCTTCACATTACTCTTCTGCTCTATTGTATGGTTAGAATTTGTGGTATATCCTGACACATTTTCAATTTCTTCAAGTTTTCCATATCAGAGTAGTTGAAATATCTTCTCTTTGAACTTCATATTGTTTTGAAGATTTGGTTGATGTCTGCTTGGAGTCTCACGGTGTCTTCGATGGAGGTCACTGCCATGGTGATCTGGGTGTCATGGAGCTATGGCTTACATCTCTGTCTATGTCAGAAATGAGGATGAGGAATAGAATGGAAGCGAGTACTGTGCCTTGTGGAACAGAGCTTTTTACCATGGCTGCCTGGGACTTTACTCTGTTTACTATTACTCTTTGTGTTCTATTTGTCAAGAAGTTGTAGATCCATCTACCAACTTCACTCATTATTCCTTCACCCCGCATTTTGTGTGCTATTACACCATGGTCACACTTGTCGAAAGCTTTTGCAAAGTCTGTGTATACTACATCTGTATTTTGTTTACCCTCTACAGCATCCAAGACCTTGTCACAGTGGTCCAGTAGCTAGGACAGGCAGGAGCGACTTGCTCTAAACCCGTGTTGCCCTGGGTTGTGTAACTGATGGGTATCTAGGTGGTTGGCTATCTTGCTTCTTAGAACCCTCTCAAAGATTTTCATGATATGGGATGTTAGTGCTATCGGTCTGTAGTTCTTTGCAATTGGTTTACTGCCATCTTTGTGGAGCGGGGGTATGTCTGTTGTTTTTAGTGTGTGGGGGATGACCCCTCTGTCCATGCTCCCTCTCCATAAAATGCTCAAGGCACGCGATAGGGGCTTCTTGCAATTCTTGATGAACATGGAGTTCCACAGGTCTGGGCCTGGGGCAGAATGCATGGGCATGTCATTAATTGCCTCTTCAAAGTTTTTGTGGATTTGAGAAATATCCAGTTTTTTGGGATGCCCAAAATTTTTGGGGGTTTTCATTCTAAAGAATTATTTGGATTGTCGACCCTTAAGTGGGCGGGTTTTCACTATATAAGACTTTCCCTGAAAGGATGTTGCACAAATGTTGCACATGGGTTATTATCAAGGTTTTTGATTTTTTCCTAAAACCACTTTTTGGCCAAAATCCACCCCCAAAGCCACTAAACTTGGGCCCAACATCATTTTCCCTCTTAAAAGGGAAGTTTTAAATTACGACATGAAAAACAGTAAAATCCTAGGTGCTTGCCACGCTTTTTCTCTAGCTGGCCTCATTTAAAAAACTGGGCCCCCCACATGGTACAAAATTGGGCCCCAGATTTTTTTAATACTGGGGCAATGAGTATTAAAAATCATTCTATGCTGGCCGGGGCATCTCGGCCAAATGGGTGCTAAATTTGGGGGCAGGAAAATAAAACATATATATACATTTGGGGAAGCTAGCAGTAAGAACATATATAGTTTGGATCCCTTTTTGGGGTTTAAACAAAGGGGTACTATTATAACAACGAAAGTACAGGGCCGGCCCTCACAAATCCGCAATCCGTTTTGGTTCCTTTAGATATTCGGCACTAATTTTGGCAAACATAAATTTTTAAATTTTTCCCGGGTCGCCCAACCAACCCGCTGGGACTTTTTTTGGTGTGCTATTAATTTTTTTATTTATTTTTTTTTTATTAATTTTTTAACATGATACACGAAGTTAAGGAATAAAAATTTTTAAAGTGCCGCATGCAAAGTCCCTTGTATGAGGAGCATTATGAGGCTTAAAAAATTTAACCCTTTAAAATTAACTAAGCAAAGATATATTTAGTGGGACAAAAATTATTTTAAAACAATAACAATTTTTCTACAAAGAGTAAAATTTCAAAAAACAGGTTTATATTTGGGCATTTACTGTGTTTTCTGTGTAAAAACAGTAGAATGGAAATATTCCCGTTTGGTTTTTGGAGTTAACCCTTTGAGGGGCGACAGGCCCTCTCCGAAAACTTGTTTTTTGGGTTGCCAAAATTAAAAAAAAAAAATTTTTTTTTTCTTTTGAAAAGATAAAAGGGAATTTTTTTCCCCCAAACATAATGAACCAAAAATAAAGAAATTTTTAAAGGAAAAAATTACGGAATTATGTCTCAGGGAAATTAGAGGGCTCGACCTGTTTACGCATTGGGGATTTTGCCCCCTTTTGGGCCCTTTTTTTCGGGCCCAAATTCCCATTTTACAAATCGAAAAAACATAAAATTTTGCTAGAACCCCCAATTTTTTTTATCGAATGGTACAAAAAACCCCCCATTCACCAAAAATTTTAAAATACCAATTTAAAATGGTCAGAATTTAAACAATTTTTTCAAATTCACCCAAAATTTTAAAAAATCCAATTTTCCCAAAAAGGGTCCAGAAAAAACAAAAAAAACATTCCTGGCACCCAAAATAAAAAGTTCTCTGTTCGTTTTTCACATCCCCAGGCCCCTATTATATTTCTTTGACTTTCCACTTTGAATTTTTATTCTACAAAAAATAGAAGATTTACTGTTATGAGACACTGCATTAGTGTAGAAATGGTATAAAAATATCAGCGCACTTGTAAAAGAATATCAGACTCACCAGTTGATGTGTATAGGACGCTTGGCATGATTTGTTTACTTTTGAACTTTGATAAAAAACGAACATTCTGCTACTTTGCGCTCAATTTCAAGGTGCTTTTCATTGTAAAACAGTCAAAATCATCTCAATTTCTGTAAATGTCTCCCATTTAAAAATGAGACCAAGAAAACTAGACTACAACAAAAAATAAATTATGAAAATCAGTCCCAAAGTCGCTGTTTTATTCCAAAAACACGGTCAGAGTTTTTTTTTTTTCTCATTACGCACTGTGTGCTGCAGGATTTTTTTTATACTGCGCACACTGGCCACATAGACCCATTCTTTCATATGTAGGCCTACCAGCTTTCTCTCATTAGATTTGAGGGCGCTAGAATTTAGGCGTATTAGTACGTCAAAAACACTGGGTCGTAAGCCGTACTAGTACGACCAAAACCCTCAAAGGGTTAAATAGTAACAAAGTTTGACTGGGTCACAGGTTGACATTTATGAGATACAATAATGAGATACATATATGAGATACAATTTATGAGAGACAATTATTCAGTATTTATTTAGTTGTGGGAGAGTAAGTGATTTTTGAGAAGAGACTTGAATTTATAAACAGACAATGTTTTTTTATTTTTATTATCACACTGGCCGATTCCCACCAAGGCAGGGTGGCCCGAAAAAAGAAAAACTTTCACCATCATTCACTCCATCACTGTCTTGCCAGAAGGGTGCTTTACACTACAGTTTTTAAACTGCAACATTAACACCCCTCCTTCAGAGCGCAGGCACTGTACTTCCCATCTCCAGGACTCAAGTCCGGCCTGCCGGTTTCCCTGAACCCCTTCATAAATGTTACTTTGCTCACAGTCCAACAGCACGTCAAGTATTAAAAACCATTTGTCTCCATTCACTCCTATCATATTCACAGGAAATGAATTCCAGATTTTAGGGCCTTTTATGTGCATTGAGTTTTTGCATAGCATGAGATGGACACGAGGAACATCAAAGAGTGATCTGTGTCTTGTGTTATGGTCATGTGTTCTGTTGATGTTGGTAAGGAGATGTTTGAGGGGAGGGTTTATGTCAGAGTTAAGTGTTCTATGTATGTAGTAGGTGCAGTAATAAGTATGGATGTTTTGCAATGTGAGTAGGTTTAGAATTTTGAATATTGGTGGAGTGTGCTGTCTGTAGTGGGAATTTGTTATCATTCTGACTGCATAAGTCATTCCAATTTCTTTTTCTCCATTTATTGTTATAACCTGCTTACTTTTAGCCCTAGCCATGGTTCCAATGAATAAAAGAAATGCTTCTCATTATGTAAAGCACCTACACAGTACATTATCCATTAAAGATAAGGTGACTTTGAAGCCAGTGTCGGTTGTCATGAACTCAAGTCTTGTGATGCAGGAGAATATGCTTTATTATTATGCTAATATCAACACTACAGCTTATTGCCTATCACAATTGATCTAATATGACATAAGAAACAATATAAATAACATAAAACATGTTAATACTCCAGAATGAATAATATTTGGCATAACACCTAGCAGTTCGACAGAGGTATGAAGAGGATATGGTATACAAGTACCATTCTCCTATCCTTGTCTTGGGGGCTTATATTAGAGAAAACGGAGTATAGCACAAGGCTAACTATGATATACACTCGTACTCCACCATAAACATGAAACAAAAAAGTTATTTTCTCTCTATAGATTATCACACATAGCAGCATATGTGTAGAGAACCTAGGATAACCCCAAAAAAGTCATCGTGGCTTATTTTTAGTACCCTGGCTTGGGTTAGCCATATATGATTTTTGGTAAATATTCGATTCCCACCCAGGGTAGAAAAATTGGGCTTTGTTTCTTTACACCTGTTGTCTATTTTTTACCCTCAGTAAATGGGTACCTGGGTGTTAGTCGACTAGTGTGGGTGTTATCCTGGGACACTGACCTAATTTTCTTGAAATACTCAGCATAACAAGTGGCTTTCTATACAGTAGTATGTCACTGATGTCAGCTAGACCTGTATACCTTGTACATGTACGTGTAGTAAATAAATATATTATTATTATTATTATAATTATTATATTGTTATTATTATTTTCTCAGTTGTTTGTTGGGTTATCTTATTCAAACTTGGGCAATGTATGATGGAAAGATACTTCTTCACGTACACCAAAAAAAGAAAGAAATCGACCATAAATAGCGGAGTTCACTTCTCCGCCATTAGCGGCCGCTTGTGGTATATTTTTGTTTTGGTTGTTATGGTTATATTCTCATTTTTTTTGGTCTCATTTGATAGAATGAAAGATATATTACAGAAATAGATATGATTTTGATTGCTTTCATGACGAAAAGTACCTTGAAATTTCGCTCACAGTAGCGAAAATGTTCTATTCTTTAGCGAAGCTCAAGAGTAAACAAATGACGTCACCGTCCAATATCTGTCCGCCTGCCAGTCTAAATTCCAGTACGGAGTCAAGAATGGATTGACATTATTTATACAATTATTACAATAATGCAGTAGTCTTGCATAACCAGTAAATCTTCTATTTTTTTTTTTTTTTGTGAATAAAAATTCCAAATGGTAAGCAAGAGTAATATAAGAGGGGCCTGTAGCCATGAATAATAAACAGAGAAAATGTTATTTTAGTGCCAGGAATGTCTGCATTGTTTATTCTGGACCCTATTTTGAAATTGGCATCTGTTGAAATTTGTGTGAAATTGGCCAAATTGCCAATTTCTGACCACTTTATTGGGTAGTTGAAATAAGTGAATGGGTGGTTTCTTGTACTCAGTTGACAGACTAGAAGTAAATAAGTTTATTCAGGTATACACAAATACAGTTACATAGATTAGCATACATAGCAGTGTATGTATAAAGAACCTAGGTAACCCAGAAAGTCAGACAAAGTGACTTATTTCCAGTACCTGGCTTGGGCTTGCCATATATGATTTTTGGTAAATATTTTTTTCTCGGTTGTTTGTTAGGCTATCTCATTGAAACTTGGGCAATGTATGATGGAAAGATGCTTCTTAACGTGCAACAAAATAAAAAAAACGGACGATAAATAAGGGAGTAACTTCTCAGCCATTAGCCGCCTCTTTGCAGTATATTTTCGTATGGTTTTTATGGTTGTATTCTTATTTTTTGGACTCATTTGATAGAATGGAAGATATATTACAGAAATAGACATGATTTTGATTGCTTTCATGACGAAAAGTACCTTGAAATTGAGCTCAAAGTAGCGGAAATGTTCGATTTTTGCCGATGTTCAATGAACTGTGTAAGTCAAGTTGGTTAATTTTATTAAGTGTATTCTAACCTAACCACTCTGAAATCTGGCAAACTCAGTAATCCGGCACACTACAGGTCCCAATGATGCCGGATTTGTGATGGAAGACCTGTATGCAACTACTTGAGAGAACAAATAGGCACAATATCATGACTGGAGCAGTATACAAATAGCCCTCACATAGGAGAGAGAAACTTATGATGACATTTCAGTCCATTTACAAAGTCACACGGTGCCACTTTGTAAATGATCCAAGTTGGACAGAAATGTTGTCGTAAGCTTCTCTCTCCTATGTGCCAGTTATCTGTGTACTTAAGAGAAAATACAACTATTTGAGAGAAAGTATATAACTATTTGAAAATACAGCCTCTCCTCACTTAGCAACATACTCATTTACCAACCACTCGGACTTATGACCAGCTCTCCAACCAGTACAGTGGACCCCCGGTTAACGATTTTAATCCGTGCAAGAGGGCTCATCGTTATGCGAAATAATCGTTATGCGAATGAATTTTCCCCATAAGAAATAATGGAAATCAAATTAATCCGTGCAAGACGCCCAAAAGTATGAAAAAAATTTTTTTTTACCACATGAAATTTTAAAATTTTAATACACCACAAACTGAAAAAGGCATGCACAATTAAATGACACTTACTTTTATTGAAGATCGGGTGATGATTGATGGGAGGGGAGGAGGGAGAGCATTATCTTCTTACTGTTTAGAAGGGGAATCCCCTTCCATTACGACTTGAGGTAGCAAGTCCTTTTCCGGGTTACTTCCTCTTCTTTTAATGCCACTAGGACCAGCTTGAGAGTCACGGGACCTCTGTCGCACAACAAATCTGTCCATAGAGCTCTGTACCCCCCGTTCCTTTACGATTTGTCTAAAAGGGCCACAACATTGTCATTGAAATAGTCACCAGCACGGCTTGCAACAGCTGTGCAGGGTGATTTTCATCTAAAAAGGGTTTGCAGTTCAACCCACGTGCACACATTTCCTTAATCTTTGAAGTAGGCACAATGGATTCCACAACTGGCATAGGCTTCTCAGGGTTAGCCCCAAACCCCTTCAAAATCTTTCTTAATTTCCATACTAATTCTCCCCCCTTTTTACCACAGGGTTGGCACTAGAAGCTTTCTTGGGGCCCAGGGTCACTTATTTTCCAGAAACAGCACCGAAAACACTGTAATAATACGAAATATTCCGAGTGTATGCTTGGATGTTACCGCGGAGGCTGGCTGGTAAACAATGGGACGGCCGGCACATGTGAGGCTGGCTGAGGGCACATTGGACGCGTCTCGGACGAAAATCGGTAAGCGGGTTTTTAATCGGTATGCGCGGCAAAAATTTTGCGATAAAAGTAATCGGTATGCGGAAAAATCGCTATGTGATGCCATCGTTATGCGGGGGTCCACTGTATACAAACCTAAATAATGTGTATTAGAGCTGATTTCCTCTATTCTGTTTATTACAGTATACAGTACACTACAGTATAAACATTTAAAAATGCACTAAGAATGTTATAAGTGGTGCAAAAGTGACATTAAAAAAATATTTAAAGATGGTTGACAGAAGCCCACTACCAATACATGTATAGTATGCTCCTCACTTAACAACCAACTGCTTACCGACCTACTCTTAGGAAAGGAACCCTGTCATTAAGTCAGGAGAGGCCAGTATATGACTGAGAGAAAGTCCTATGGTTCATGTTGACTTATGGCCGGTAATGTAAACAGTACTGAAAACCCATTGAAAATTGTCAAAAAAAAAAAAAATCACTCACCTCTCCTTTTCTTTCTGGGTTGCCCGTCCACACATGACTGGTACTCATGGAACCTCGCACGTCAACACAAATGCCCAACTTACGTGTTGTTTTCTCAACATTCTGCAAAAAAGCAACATTGATAAGTAAGTTTATTTAGGTACAGATATATATACAATTACAGTTACACAAATTATCATACATAAGTAACATGTAAATTACGCAGGATAACTCAAAAAAAAGGCTTTAATATAGCAGAAATATGAAACACTGAGGGACACTTAAAAGCAAATTACACTTTTTATTTTTTTAATATGTTGGCCATCTCCCACTAAGGCAGGGTGGCCCAAACAAGAAACACTTTCACCATCATTCACACATAATCACTGTCTTTGCAGAGGCACCCAGATACGACAGTTTAGATGTCACTCCAAACAGCCAATATCCCAAACCCCTCCTTTAAAGTGCAGGCATTGTACTTCCCACCTCCAAGATTCAAATCCAGCTAACCAGTTTCTCTGAAGCCCTTCACAAAATATTACTGAGCTCACACTCAAACAGCTTGTCACGTCCCAAAAACCATTCATCTCCATTCACTCCTATCTAACACACTCACACATGCCTGCTGCATGTCCAAGCCCCTTTCACACATAACCTCTTACCCACTCCCTACATCCTTTCCTAGGACAACCCCTACCCCTCCTACCCTCCACTACAGATTTATACACCCTTCAAGTCATCCTGTTTTTCTTCATCCTCTCTAAATGACTGAACCACCTCAACAACCCCTCTTTAGCTCTCTGAAAAATACTATTAGTAACTCCACACTTCATACTAATTTCCACACTACAAAAATCTGGATAATATCTGCACTACACATTGCCCTTAAACATGACATCTCTACTGCCTCCAGCCTCCTCCTAGCTGCAGCATTTACAACCCATGCTTCACACCCATATAAGTGTGTTGGTACCACTATACTCTCGTACATTCCCTTCTTTGACTCCATGGAAAACATTTTTTGTCTCCACAGACACCTCAATGTATCACTCACCTTTTTTCCTTCATTAATTCTATGGTTTAGCTCATCCTTCATAAACCCATCTGCTGATAAATCAACTTCCAAATATCTGAACACATTCACTTTTTCCATACTTCCTCCAATGTGATATCCAATTTTTCTTTGCCTAACTAGTCTGATACCCTCATCACCTTACTTTTATCTATGTTCACTTCCAACTTTCTTCCTTTACACATCCTCCCAAACTCGTCCACTAACCTATGCAACTTCTCTGCTCCCAAAAGAACAAAATTAAGATCATCAATAAAGCATAAATTACTAAATATAAAAAGAAAAAAACTCTGTGTTTTCATTTTCAGGTCACCCTACCTTAGTGGGAGATGGCCGGTACATTATAAAAAAGATCAAATTAAACAAGCTGTATGAGTACTGTAACATATGGTCAATATCATAGTGTACTAACAATAATAAGAACTCACAAATGTCCCCACACTTAGGAGAGGAAATTTACGACTTCGCAATGGTTCAGGACAGACTAAACCATCATCATAATTTTTCCTTCCTAAGTGCCAGTTATTTGTGATTTTTTTCCAGACTTTACATTTTTTTTCAATTTCTTTTTTAACACACCAGCCGTCTCTCACCGAGGCAGGGTGACACAAAAAAGAAAAGACACTTTCACCGTCACTCACTCCATCACTGTCTTGCCAGAGGGGTGCCAATACTACAGTTCAAAACTGCAAATATCTACACTCCTCCTTCAGAATGCAGGCACTGTACTTCCCACCTCCAGGACTCAGGTCCAGCTAACCAGTTTCCCTCAATCCCTTCAAAAATGTTACCTTGCTCACACTCCAACAGCACATCAAGTCATAAAAGCCACTTGCCTCCAGTCACTTCTATCTAACATGCTCACACACACTTGCTGGATGTCTAAGCTTCTTGCACACAAAACCTCCTTTATCCCCTCCCTCCAACCTTCCCTAGGGTGACCCCCTGTCCTACCTTCCCTCCATCACACGTTTATAAGCCCTCCAAGTCATCCTATTTTGTTCCATCCTTGACAACTAATCTTCAGCTCTCTATGTAATACTTTTAAAAACCCTGCAATGCCTTCTAATCTCCAAGCTACGAATTCTCTGCATAATATTCGCACTGCACATTGCCCTCAGATATGACATCTTCACTGCCTCCAGCATTCTCCTTATTGCAACATTCATAACCTATGCTTCACTGTAGTATGACAGCATAATACAATGAAATGAATAACACACCTTAGCACTTGCAGTGATGAGAGAATGCAGAGCATCAACAACTTGAGGATTGACTTTTGCGTTCTTCATGCACATACTCATGAGAGGTCTGGGAGGCGTGCTGGCACCACCTCCTCTGCTTGCCTTCCTCTCGTATGACTTCCCACCAACATCACCAATAAATCTAGAAAAATGACTTAACAGTTCTTTATAATATATTAAAACTAATGTTTAAGAATTATATAAAAAGAAGAGCCGACTTGTTGAAAAAAAAAAAAAAAAAAAAAAAAAGAGCTAACAAACAAATAAAAAAAAATGAAAAACACAGAAAACCTACTCTGGGAGAAAGAATTATATAATAAATGGTTTACAACACCAATACGTTGATATAAGACATATGAAATACTAGGAGCTGTTATTGACAAAACCTTTTGCTTCACCTTTGGTATTTGTGCCTGGGAATCTACCTCACCAAATCATCTAACACCATTAACCTTTTCAGGGTCCAGACCCCTAATCTGAAACATGTTCTCAGGGTCCAAATATTTTATGAAATGACTTAATCTTTTTTTTGAAGATAATGAAACCAATAGCACAAAATCTGATGGAAAACTTACAGAATCATGCTTTCACAAAGTTAGCAGTCTTGGTGATATTTATGCACCAACAATTTCACCCACTTTGAGATCTATTTTAGGACAAGTCCACTGTTCAAATGAACCAACTCCTAGCTATTTCACTAGTATGCCTTCCATTCTATCAACTGAGCACAAGAAATCACCCATTTACCTATCCATTTAACCCTTTCAGGGTTTCGGACGTACTAGTACGGCTTACGCACTAGGGTTTTTGACGTGCTAGTACGCCTAAATTCTAGCGCCCTCAAATCTAGTGAGAGAAAGCTGGTAGGCCTACATATGAAAGAATCGGTCTGTGGTCAGTGTGAGCAGTATAAAAAAAATTCTGCAGCACACAGTGCGTAATGAGAAAAAAAAAACTTTGACCGTGTTTTTGGATTAAAACAGCTACTTTGTACTGTATTTTCGTATGGTATTTATTGTTGTATTTTAGTTTTCCTGGTCTCATTTTATAGAATGGAAGACATATTACAGAAATTGAGATGATTTTGACTGATTTTACAATGAAAAGTACCTTGAAATTGAGCTCAAATTAGCAGAAATGTTCGATTTTTACCAAAGTTCAAAAGTAAACAAATCATGCTAAGCGTCCAATACACGTCAACTGGTGAGTCTAATATTCTTTCACAAGTGCGCTGATATTATTTATACCATTTCTACACTAATGCAGTAGTCTGCATAACAGTAAATTTTCTATTTTTTTGTGAGAATAAAAATTCAAAGTGGAAAGCAAAAGAATGTAAGAGGGGCATGGGGACATGACTAATGAACAGAGGAAATGTTATTTTAGTGCCAGGAACGTCTTTCTTGTTTATTCTGGACCCTATTTGGAAATTGGCATTTTTTGAAATTTGTGTGAAATTGGCAAAATTGCTAAATTCTGACCACTGTATTGGATAGTTGAAATTGGTAAATGGGTGGTTTCTTGTACTCATTCGATAGAAAAATGGAGTTCTAGCGAAATAGTTATGATTTTTGTTGACTAGTACATTGGAATTGGCCGAAAATAGGGCTCAAAGTGGGCAAAATCGCCGATGCGTAAACATTGTCAAGACCGCTAACTTCGCGAGAGCATAATTCCGTAAGTTTTTCATCAATTTTCATACTTTTGGTGTCATTATGATCGGGAAAAGATTCTCTATCTTTTCATAAGAAAAAAAAATTTTTTTTTTTTTTAATTTGGGCAAGTCAGGGAGAGAGTCTGGGGACCCTGAAAGGGTTAATTATTTGAATTATCCACTAAAGTGATTAGAAATCAATAATTTGACCAATTTCACACAAAATTCAAAAAATGCCAATTTAAAAATAGGATCCAGAATAAACAAAGTAGGCATTCCTGGCACTAAAACAACATCTCCTCTGTTCATTAATCATGTCCCCCAAGCTTCTCCTATATTAACACTCCGACAGCCACTATCCCAAACCCCTCCTGTAAAGTGCAGGCAATGTACAGTGGACCCCCGGTTAACGATATTTTTTCATTCCAGAAGTACGTTCAGGTGCCAGTACTGACCGAATTTGTTCCCATAAGGAATATTGTGAAGTAGATTAGTCCATTTCAGACCCCCAAACATACACGTACAAACGCACTTGCATAAATACACTTACATAATTGGTCGCATTGGGAGGTGATCGTTATGCGGGGGTCCACTGTACTTCCCACCTCCACTTGTTTTCCATTCTGAATTTTTATTCACACACACACACACACACACAAAAAAAATAGAAGATTTGCTGTTATGCAGATTATTGCATTATATCTTCTTCTTTCAACGCACCAGCCATATCCCACCGAGGCAGGGTGGCCCAAAAAGTAAAACAAAATTTTCTCTTTTTAGCTTTAGTAATGTATACAGGAGAGGGAGTTATCAGCCCCTCCCTCCTGGCATTTTAGTCACCTCTTACGACACGCATGGCTCACAGAGGAAGAACAAGAACTAATAAGAAAATAAAAGAAAACCCAGAGGGGTGTGTATATAAATATATGCTTGTACATGCAAGTATTTTTTCTCGTCTCTCCAGAGTGCAGGAACAAATTAATGGCTTTTAAATTAATTTAAATGAGGAAAATTAATTTGATATACGAGTAATTTTGAGTTTGGCAGCTCCTGGAAGGATTAAACACATAGGTCAAGGTTCCACTGTACTCAAGTGTTACTTAAGAACCAGACATAATCTATTAAGTAGGGTTTCTTATGCAGTTAAATATAATCATATGTACAATAAGAAAGGTAACTAATGAACTAATGGTCAATTACAAAAATACTACATTTTTTTTAAAACAAACCCCATATCCCCCAAGGGGGGTGACATAAAAAGAAAAACGAAATTTTCTCTTTTTAACTTAATAATGTACAGGCCCCCCTAACATTCGGGGGGTTTTGGGGGACAAGACCTCACAATTTTGAAAAACCATGAAGTTTGTGCCCCAATATATTGTAGGGAAATAAAATAAAATACTTTTCCCTTAATTTTTGAACCATGAATATCATAAAAACATGAAACTTTGAAATTGTACTAAATATAACATGTTATGTTTTAATAACGTATTTTTATTTAAAAACCCTGTATTTTTAAAAAACATTATGTTTTTAAAACCACAACACCACCACTAAAGCCCCTACTACCCCCCTCCGACCCCGAACTGGCACCACCCCCCCCCACCACCGGTTTTTGGGGTGTTTTGTTTTTTCATTATTTGCTATTAAACTCAGTAAAATAATGAAAACCATTCTGACTGCATATTGGGAATGGTATTTGGAAGGTATTAGGGGTAAATCATGTGTTTACTCTTGAACCAGCAAAAAATCGAACATTTCTGCTATTTTTAATAATAACAATAGTAAAAAAATAATAAAAATAATAAAAAAAAATAATAATAATAATTAATAAAAAAAAAAATAATAAAAATAATAAAATAAATACAAAAAATTTTAAAGGGAAATTGTACAAAAATACGGGGAGTGGTTCCCACACGTCAGTGTGATTTTTTAGCTGGAGTAAATTAGTCCCCCTGCCTTCCAAACATTTCCCCAAAAAATTCAGCGGTTGAGGCAGTGGTATTTAAAAACATATAGTTTAAAAAATAATAGTACATTTTATTATTTTTTTTTTTTTTTATTTTCCACTGGCCGATTCCCACCAAAGGGAGGGGGGCCCAAAAAGAAAAACTTTTACCATCATTCAACCCCCTCACTGTCTTGCCAGAAGGGTGCTTTACACTACATTTTTAAAAATCAAATTAACACCCCCCCTTCAGGTGCGGGCCCGTACTTCCCATCTCCAGAACCAAGTCCGGCCCCCGCCAGTTTTTCCCCCGAACCCCTTCATAATGAATTTGCTCACATCCAAAAGCACGTCAAGTATTAAAAACCATTTGTCTCCCATTCACCCCTAAAAAACCCACGCTCACGCATGCCTGCGGAAAAGTTCCACCCCCGACAAAAACCAAACCTCCTTTACCCCCCCCCTCCCCCCAACCTTTCCTAGGCCGCCCCCTACCCTCCCTTCCTTCCACTACAACTGAAAACCATTTTGAAGTTATTCTGTTTGGGCCCACCCACTCCAAATTCCAAAAACCACCTAAACCCAACCATTCCTCAGCCCTCTGGAAAACCCATTTTTGAAAACCCCCGCACCTCCTCCAAACCTTCCCAAAACCAAAATTTCTCTTATTTCCCACCACACATTGCTTCGGGACATGACATCCCCAAATGCCTCCCCCTTCTCCCCCGCTTGCAACTTTCCCTTCACCCATGCTTCACCCCCACATAAGAGCTTTGGTAATTTTTATACCTCTTTACTTTCCCCCTTCTTTCCCTCCAAGGACAAAGTTTTTTGGGTCCCCCAAACAGACTCCTAATTTGCCCCCACTCCCCCCTTTTCCCCTCATCAATTTATGATTCACCCCCAATATGAAAAAACGTACAGAAGGGCCCACAAAACCCAGAGACCAAAAAAAAACGTTACTCGTCAATCCAAAAACCCCTTGATAAAAAGGGGCAAAAAAAATTGAAATTATGAAAAACAGTTTAACCAAAATTTTACGAGGTGATAAAAAAAAAGCCCTGGAAAACCCTATCTAAAAATTTGGGGGAAAAAAAAGATATCCCGAAATAGCAAAAAAAAATTAAAAAAATCAGTAACCCCCAACCCCCCACCAACAAAAAACCCAGCAAAAAAGACTCAATGTTTTTCTTCTCCACATAGGAAAAAAACCCCTTGCCCATAAAATCCCAAGCCCCAGATACCCCACCAAAAAAACAAATCCCCGGCAACTCCCCGAACACACTTTTCCCTACCCCGACAAAACCCAAAACAAGGTCCCCTTATTTTTCAATGCACAAAAAACAAGGCAGGAGATTTTAATTCCCTTACCCCCCTTTATATAAAAAAAAGTGTCACAAGTGTTTCTTCCAACCTTGCAACACTTTTTTAACAAATCCTTTAAAATCCTCCACCTTCCCTAAGTATCAAAATAGCAAGGTCACCCCGATCCCAAAGGAGGAGAACCCAAAAAGAGTTGAATAAATATTGGGCCCCCATC